ATGGTTTTCCTAGTGTCATAAGGTCCATCAGCAGAACAAATGTATTTGGGCCAACTCTTTGATTGGAAGACATTTTGTGCACTTCTTCAATATTATTTGTAGATATCCCTCCATATGTTCTAAAATTCTTCGTTACTTCTTTAAAGTATGATCCAAATGCACTGCTGAAATAGGCTAGTGTCCTTTGTTCTCTATTGCTAGAGACCAGATGCAAAATTCTGCCTTGACACACATCCCATCCATGCAACCTCATTGAAGACAGTGAGTTTCCAGGGTTGCATGTCAGGGCAGAATGTTTCCTGGTAGTTTCATTTGCTTTTCTAAAAAGTCATTGTTCCTTCCTCATCACCAAATTGCTGTGGATAAATTCAAAAACACCAACTGTGCTTATTGACAAAGCTTACTTAAAATACAAGATCAAGATTAGCCATTCATGTAAACTTCCCAAAGCACTCCACCTCCATGGAATATTGAGTGACAACATACCCAATCAGTGAAACAACAGAAGCATTACCATTGGTTGAATATACACCTGGAGGGCAAGACACATCTAAAACCATTGAGAGATGATTAAGATACAGGAAAACATTTAAGCATGTGTTTAACTAACAAACTGAATAGCTCCATTGACTTTGATAGAACTACTCACACATGTACGTTTTTAGCTGCTTTCCTGGATTAAGACCCTCAACTTTTTGCAGATTACATGTGCACCACAATAAAAATAATAATAGAGTCAATGGCAGACAAAGTGAAGTCCTTTCAATGCTGTTTGTGAAAATGAAGCTGCTTATACTATGATTTCCTCTTTTAATTGAATTGCTTTTCCTGAATCTAGTTTAAAAAAGGAATGCATATAAAAGTTTATATGACAGATATGGCAATTTCCTGCAATATCTTTGAGAGATCTGATTGAATTAAGCTTAAATAGCTTTGCAGTCCATTGTATTATAGATGCAAAGTTGATGTGCTATGTGGGTTTGTATGTCTCTATGGGGGAGATGTGGCCAATGTAAACACTGGGAAGGATTATGAGCTTCAAAGGACTATTTGAAACAATGTGCCATACAAGAATGAATTTTGGGACAAAGTTAAGTGCGTTTCCCAGGAAATCTCTAGGGGGAGGTGTGCACAAAGGTATCACCTTCAATTATGCAAAAACTCAGCCTTTGGAAACTACACCCTGAGGAGGGCACCTTTGTCTGCTGATTACCTGTTCCTGGTATCTAAAGGTCAAAGGCCCAAGCTTTACAAAGGGGTGACTCTCAGATTCATGGAGGTGATTGTTCTGAGCCAGCAGCTGTTATGAACTTTTAACCACAGGAAAACCCCTTGGTGGAATTCAAAAGACGGATCACTTGCCAGAGCCCTTTTTGGAGTTGAGGGGTGATCTCTGGTAAACCTATTAGCATGTGTGTAAGTTCTTTTATTGTGTTTTAATATGGTTTCTCTGTGATGCTCTCACATGAATGTACATGCTTAGAATGAACTGTGTGGTAACCTATAACTGTGGACAATTACACTGTTTATAGCCTCTGAGGAGAAAGCAAAATGCAGACGCAGGCCATTTAGGCAGCGTGGTAAAACACTCCATCACCAGGGAGAAAGATGTGGGTCTCTTCCCAAGAGAGTTGATGGCTGAGAAGCTGGGAGCATAAACGTGGGTGCCACTGCTGGATCACGGAGGGGGAATGCAGGTGCACTGCGACAGTTTACATTGCTCCAGAATAACTTTTTCACAATGTAATTGTTTTTAGTATACTCACTAAATTAGTCTGACACTCTATATGTTTCTGTGTATTTATGCTATTATGAAATGACTGTCTTTGGGCCCAAATCTGCAACCTAGCTGCTGCACCCTCCCCTCAAAATCCTATGTGATCTTCTGGGGCCTGATTCAAGTGAGTAAATCTCTCTTACATGAATAGATACCTTGAGGTGTTAGGACTTGTGTGAGTAAGGAATATTTTCATCACGTTTTTAATATGAATGGACCCTTTTTCATATTTTTTTAAAATTTAATTTAATTTAATTAAATGATTTTAGGAAACTTAGAAGAAAAATGGCCTTTATACCTGTGGATATGTGTTTAATTTCAGCATTTATTAAAATGTAGAATTTCATCAGTAAAAGAGTTAGGTGTATTAAATATGAATAGCATTAACCAGGGGGGAAATTCATGTTCCCTAAGTGGTTATGACTCATATCTTCCAAATATAGCAAACATACAGTATACCTCAGTAAAAGAGAATATTAAGCATTCTCTCCACAGAAAGAGTTCAGATAGCCAACCTATGATCTAGAAGCTGATTAAAAAGACCTCAGGCCCCATCTTGTAAAACACATGCACCTGATTCTCTTCTCATTTAACTGATTCAAAACAGGAGTAACTCACTGAAATCAATGGAGTTACTCCAGTGTTAAAATTGGTGAGAGGGAAGAATCAGGTCCTGTAGGTGTCCAAGAAATCTAGTAACTACCAGAAACTTTATGCAGTTTTTTAAAGAAATACTGCAATTTTACAAACACAAACACACACACACACTCCTCCAACCCACTTAAAATACACCTATGATCTCAGTTTCCAAATACACCTCTACCCCGATATAATGCTGTCCTCGGGAACCAAAAAATCTTACCGTGTTATAGGTGAAACCGCATTATATCGAACTTGCTTTGATTCGCCGGAGCACACAGCCCCGCCCCCCCGGAGCGCTGCTTTATCACGTTATATCCTAATTTGTGTTATATTGGGGTAGAGGTGTAATGCATTTTTAAAAATCCAAGCAAACCCCGGAATTCAATGTTGTGTTTTCTAAGACCTGGATTCCATTTGTCTTGCAACACCAGGCCAGGGTCAGTTAGAGAGTGAAGGAATGTGGCTCTGCATCCAACCTAAGATAAATGGGTACTGCTCCAGCCAGGCGAAGCATTTGGAGCCTGATCTTTTTGACTGCAACAGCTTCCAAGGCGGGCCAACGGGAGTGGCGGGATTTGCAATGCAGCCAGTAGACCACAGACTGTACCACTCCTTACTGCTATATGTGTGAGGTGGTTTGGGTTAGCTATCAGGCCCCAGAAGATCACATAGGATTTTGAGGGGAGGGTGCAGCAGCTATGTAGCAGCCCCTTGAAACTGCCACTGGGGGGAAGCAGCCAGCCAGGACCCATTAAAGACTCCAGGAAGAGGAAGAAGAAGGGTGGAGACTTGAGGAACTCTTTCCCTACAGATTTGTGATGGCGAGTGCCTACAGCTGTAGTGGGGAAGGGCCTATGTAGGTCAGGAAGGGTCCTGTATTGGGATGGGGAGGGAGTGAAATCTCAAATATCATGAGGACAGTTGTTCTCATGAGAGGTTTTGCTTTTTTTTGGTGCAGTAACTGGGATTCAGATTAGCATGGTCTGAGTCTTGATCTAAACATCACTATCTCAGTCCTCCTGCATTTCACAACATTTTCTTGCAGCTTCTAGTTCCACCTCCAGTTCCCCCTCCAGTTCTGTAGGGACATTATTTTATTATGCTTAAAATGAGGAAGGTTTAATTCCTTTCACAAACATTATATATATCCTCTGTTTCCTCCTTCAGATTTTATGATGTAAATAATTTACAATAAACAACATCAAGTTAGTGCATGACAGAGTAAATTGTAATGTAAATCTGTAATGAGGGCAGTATTTTGTAACAAAAGAGACTGCTGAGTGATAGAAGCAGAGCTGGGTGAATACTGCAAAAAATAATTGCACACATTAATTCAAACCAAAAGCAGGAATTTTGGAGACAGTATTTGCAACTCCTTTTATTTGCTTTCTGCAAATACTCATAATCAGGCAAGTTTTGTTCTCAAAAATATCTGCATAATGGGTCACACATGATTACACTCCTGGAAATGTTTCCTGGGTCATCTTAAAAGCCAAGGTCTTTGCGGGGATGGGAGTCATACAAGATAGAAACATAGCTGACTGTACATAACTTGAACAGTAGATTATAAACAGCAAATACTAGAAGTACATTAGCAAGTAGTTTGCAAGCAACCATTTGCTGAAGAATTGTGAATAATGAACAATTTTGTAAATAATGAACAAAGTCTGTTCACAGATCATTTGCTAACAGAAGAACGGGATTATTTGTCAAATATGTTGTTAATGGTTCACCCTGCTCTACGTAAGAATGCAAGTCCCCCACACAAATAAATAAATAAATAGATAGATAGATAAAATAAAGAAGTGTTCTTGTGAAGTCACAAGAATCAATTATCCAGACTTACTACGTTTCCTTGATTTGGGCTCTTATCAATGACTTGTGTTTAAAGGGACAACAAAAACTTAAAAAATCATGTTTTAAAAATTGAATTTGAACAAATTTTGAAAAAAACATTTATTTTCACTATAATGTTTGGGTCTGATCCAAAGCCTATTGAAGAGACTCCCATTGACTTCAATGGGCTTTAGATCAGACCTTTTACATCCATTTGGCATTTCTCTCAGCTGGGACAATGAGAATCAGTGAAGTCAGCTTCTCAATGCCGCAATGCTTAGGCTGCAAATATTGCAGACCACCGTTTATTGAGTGGGGCAGCTGCTCTGCAACCGTTGTCCTTGAGTACTTGCATTTTAGGTCCTTATTCCATATGTAGCGTCCTGACAGCGTGAAAGTACTTCTGTCTACACTATTGGGTCAGTTGGAGTTCTACTCAGGAAAATTGGCTACTCCAGGGGAATACTGAACTTGCTCCTAGTATGGAGCAAATTCATAATACTAAATGTCATTATGATTGTTTCTAGGTTTGGGCTATAAACATAGCTTTAATCTCCTCAGACAAGAGTAATTTCCCCCCAACTTTCATTAAAGACAGAGTCTGCATTTACTTCAAGTCAGTATTTGGCTGCTACTAAGGAATCATGTTGTGATTTTTTAGGGGGCGGGGGCAGTGTAAAAATCAATTGACATCCAAACTCTTCTTCTCCTCAGCCAATTTGGTCAAAGAAAAGCATCCACTTACCAGTCTCAGGAGAAGTTGTCTTTACAGAAAGAAGTTTGACACCCTCTTTATCTGTTGTGGCTCTGTTTTAGTTGGGAGACATTTGAACAGACAATTAGCATCAGACTTCTGCATATTTGTCAGTGCAGAAAGTACTAAGGGTATGATCCTGTAACAGGATCCATCCTGGTGGAGTCTGCCATGTTGGGAATCCCCACTGACTTCAGTAGGGCTTTGCATGGGTACAAAGGTCTTCTTGCATCACTCTGATTGTAGGGCCTAAACCAACATTTCTCAAAGTGGGTGTGCAGAGGAGAGGGCTAATGGGAGAAGCTGCTGTGGGACGAGAGAAGCTTCCTTTTCTGCTCCTAATACACCTGGCCACAGAAGCAGCTCAAGCATACAGGGCTACAGGTACAAGAAGCAGCTCGCCAGCCAAGCTTTGGGTTTCTTCACTCAAAACACAGTTCAACTTCATGGATACATGTCTCGGCCCCACTGAGTCAGCAGCGGACCCTCCAGCCATCCCGAGAAGCATGTAGTCTGATGGATCTGTCTCAATTTTACTCTGTGGCAACACGTGTACAGCTCATCATGCCAATGCAGTCTAATTGAATTGAAGTGAATTAGTGAGTTAGGGAATGGGGAGGAGAGCAAAAGAAAAAAAAGAAATACAAAAATAAAAAACAATAAAAGAGAAACCAGAGAAAAAAGAAGGGAGATGGGAAAGAAAAGGAGAGAAAGAGGAAACGGACAGAAAAAAACAAAGAGGCACAACTGTGCCCTGAGAGACACTCTCAAAATGGCATTTCCCCCTTTTGGGTATTTTTATGGGTGTTAACAGTTTATTATATTTCAGTGGAGAAAATTAAGAACATGCAGAAATTGCTGTCTTCATAAGAGCCACGTGACTAGACTTAAAGGAATGCAGGGGCATAGTTTAACTTACTGTTCAGTTCCATTCTCTTGTCCCTCTAGAAGAAGAAACAAATTTATGTTATTCTGATTGCCTAGATGTGGGCTAAATAATAGGCTCAAACACAGCCATGACTAGCATAAGCCTATTTTGAGATTTTGTAGCTCTGCATCAAATATTAATAAAATAATAAATAAACAGGAATAACAACTTGTACTTATCATGCAGGATCAACATGATTTGTAAAGGTGGACAAGTATAATTATCATAATTTTTACAGAAACTCAGGAACAAGGATTAAATGACGCACAAAAGGTCACACAACAAGACCATGAAGCTAAAGGAAACTGCTGCATGGTTTTTCCTGTATAGATTGTCCAAGTTACAATCAGTGCCCATCATAGAATAATCCCAGTTTTCATGGGTTTGTTCCAGATCTTGCAAGCTTAATTTTGCAGCCATGTCATGTTTGGAACTCCCACTGTCCCCACATACCAAGGACAGTTAGAGGCCTGAACTTTTTGTTTGGGGCTTCTCATGCATCAGTGTTTTCACATTGATCCTAATTTCATGGCATTGGATCAACACATAACATCAGAGTACAATGTGATGACAGTATCATCGTGGTGTGATTTGAGACACAAAAGTTTTCTCTTCCTTTACATATCTGTAACACTCCAAAGTTACCATGTTGCAGTCTCTAGACTTCTAGACAAGAAGTGGACACCCCCAAATAATGAATTATGCATGCTATGTATTCCACATTCTTTATTCTTGTCCTGTGGGTAGGTGGGTGGGTGGGGGTTAGATTAGATATATTTCTACAGCACTGGTTTTAAGGGTGTGGATGTTTAGTGAGCTAGAGCTAGGCAAATACTTCAAAAGATATCCACAAATATTCATTACAATTTTAAAATGAATTTGCTTTGATTGAGTTTGTATTTGCAGGGGGAAAGCCAGAGAAATTTTCTCCACCTAAAATCTTCACTCCTTGGCAATGAAGATTCAGTAATTTTCCAGGCAAGGAATCATTTCCCTTCTATGTTTTTGCGGTTTGCATTGTCATTTGCAAAAGTTATTACAACATGCTATTTACCTTGGCCTGTAGCTTCAAGGCCTTGTTATGACTTCACATTTCCAGCCCCCAGGAATTTCACAGCTAAATCGCTGCACAGAGCTCCCAGCTCTTGCCAGCTTGAAAGCAGAGAGACCACATTATGGATTCAAATTTGTGTCTCCTACTTAGTAACGCACTGCATTTGCCTCTAGCCCACTAAGCTCACTCCCCAATACGTTTGGCAAAATTGATGTAGTAAAGTTATTTCCCCCTGTGAGCCTCAATATTTTATGGGCAATACTGGAAAAGGTGGCAGACTGCTCTGTCCAAATCGCTGCTTATTGATGAAATTACTGCATTCCCTGGGATTTTATGTGGACAAGGAAAAATATAAACATGGGATCGCTCCAAAAAAACGAAAAATTGATTTTTTTCCTTGCGTTTTGAACAGAGCTAAAATGAACACAGCTGATTTTAACAACAAATGCAACTTATTTTGCCCCATGCTTTTCCAAGCAATTTCTCTCTGCAGACTAGAGTCATTGGCAGTGTCAGCACAGCTGTTTGTTAGGTAACTGCTAAAGAAGAGAGAGCATTAAACATATTGGATTTGTGTTCTCTACAAGAGGTGTTGTTTCCTCCCCTACATATACCCCATAGTAATCTTAATAAAGAAGTGTTAATTCCTTTTTTGACTAAATATTTTAAAATCAGCACGGTTATTTATCCGAATACAATAAAATTTGTATGCTAGGTCAGATTTTAATACAAACATTTGCAGTATTCCTTTCATAATGAATAATATATCGAAGCCTTCCTGGCTGCAGAAAAATGTTGAACAAATACCTGTGGTTGTCCTCCGGCACATTCTGTACAAAGCCACCAGAATGAACACAGAAAGGGTTATTACTATCAAGGCAATCACAACTGGCAAAATAATACCTGCAAAAAGTGGAGAAAATTATTTTACCAACTACATTCCACTGGCATAACTTTAAACATATATAAATATCAAACAAATTCATGTGTTCTCTTAGTCCCTCCACAATCAGTACAGCTGAAGCTATTAATTTCTCTTGAAGCTTGTTACATTTGTTACTCCTCATGCATTCACTAGGTGTCAGGCTTGCAGCCTTTTTGAAAACCAGGGCTTTAGGCAACAAAGGAAGATTTAGTGGCTTCCTCCCCCATCCCTCATCATTCTGGAATCTCTGTCTTAAATATCAGACTCCTAACAATACAGAGTGTGTTCTCATGAACATGTCTTTAGGCCATTAAGATTATAATTTCTCCCCACATGGGAATACTCTAATCGTGATAAAAATACAAAATGTTCACCTTGAGAGTTAATAGCCCCAATATACATTTTCAGCACCCATGTTCCAGGAACAATTAAAAAAAAAATCATGTACTGCAAAACAAGGCAGATTTGAAATTCAGTGACTAAAGTGATTATTTCTTTTTTAATATGGTAATCACAGAAAGGCATGTAGGAGTTACACAATTTAGTAACATTCTGCACAATACCTATGACCAGAGATACAAAAAGAAAGATTTCTTTTAAAAATGAGGCAGTTTGTCTCCTTTTATTATTTCCCACCATCTGTTGTTTCCTGACAGGTGTTTCCCAGCCAAGTAGTAAGAACACGTACAAGGAAAGATTTATGTAATAAGAGACACTTTCTGGAAAATGGCCCAGTTTCTCTCTAATTATAATTTTTCATGGCTCCATCCTTCAGGTTCAAGTTTAACAGACTAGCCTGGTGGCCTAAAGGAGGGTTCTTTGCCCTGCAACATGGGAGATTCCCAGACATACACTAGCACTCCCCAAGCTGATAGAGCACTGCATCAATTCAACAGCAACCTTCTCTCACTGTCTAAACAGTGGTATTGTCTGGATTCTGGGAAACCTAGCTTTATTTCCCAGAACACCGCCAGCTCTCTCCAGGCTAAGAGTGATGAAGAAGCAATAGGTTCAGACTCTGGGGAAGAGCAGTGGGGGGATACTTTGCATTATTCAATAGCAGTCTTTCTGACAGGCGAAGCACTAGCAGTGATACTACTTGGATCCAAAGGAAGAGCTGATCTAGTTAAAAAAAAAATGGTGGCCACTTAGAAGGGCCTCCATGGTACGCGGATAAAATGGGGAAGTAGCATCTTCATGGCTCCACCAAGGATGGAGTTGATCCTTTCCAAAAAGTTTCTTGAGGTGATTTAAAATATAGCTATATCTGCACTGCAGCTAAGTTTAGATCTTAGAGAAAACTGAATGTGTATATAGCTGAGCAAATATTAGAAAGGGTATTAGAAAGCAGACCTGCAATAACACTTCCCCACAAGATGTACACATGTTTTATCATATACAAGAAAGGGAGTAGCACCCTCAGACCAACTGCTTGAAGAAGTTTGGAGACTAGAACCTAGGACTGCACACATTTCCCCTGTGCCTTGACTGGCTCTCTCAGTGCCAAATTAAAGGTTTGTGAAAGGTAAGCAATTTAGTCCTGCATTTCCCCAGGTCATCACTCAGTGGAGCGACTGAGTTGAAGTTTTTCACTCATGTCCCATTGCCCTCAGTCCCTGGGAATAATTGCACTGCTTTGAGTTGAGAGTAGTGTTAGCTCAGTGCTCGTTAAGCCCTGCTTCTCTATGAGTAAAGCCTTATAACAGAGACAGTTCAATCGGTTTCGTAATGGGGTCCATGATCCAGGAAGGACTGAGATAAGGCTTCTTGTTTCTGATTATAAATAATTAATGGAGATATCCCATCTCCTAGAACTGGAAGGGACCTTGAAAGGTCATCGAGTCCAGCCCCCGACCTTCATTAGCAGGACCATTGCTGTTCACTCACCTAAAACCAAACAGTTTTTACCAGCAAATTCAAAAGACAGAGATTGAAGAAACATATGTACTCACTGGAATACTGGTCATTATCCGCTTGTTTGTCATTGCTACCGGGACTGCCATGACCTATTGGCAAAGAAACTAATTATCTCTCAGGTTAATTCAGACCTTGTTTTGTAATAGCACCCTCCTCTTTAATTTTATGCAACCAGCTCCTTCCCTCCCTCGCCACCACTGACATATGTGTTCTAAAGAACAGAGAAGGTATCATTTGGGCTGACAAATTGCTTTGGTGACCTGGGCTCTGCAATGGGGAGGAGGGGGGGAATCTGCTGTGGGCTAGGAGAAAATACTCATCAGGAATGTGCACTGTGTCCTGTGAATGTAGCATAGCATCCAGCCCTGGGACCATCTGTGCTCTCTCTCTCTCTCTCTCTCTCTCTCTCTCTCTCTCTCTCTCTCTCTCT